TCCACGGTGAATAAATAAAGTTGTGTTTGCTCAAACCTGTCCCTGGTCAGTCTGTTCCCAACCATAGTGGGGAAACTGAGTCAGACAAGTACAGAAAAATATATCTTCTCACCCCACCTTTTCTAGATAAACAGGGAAGTAGGACCAAGGTGATGACTTTACTGCTTTTGGAAGATTCAAATAACATTTGTTAAAAACACTTCAAGATGATACATGGTGAGTCTGGGATTTCTTTAGATCAAGACAGCACAATTTTCTATTGACTATTAACAACATTAGAATTGGGAGAAAACTTCTGATGGCTAAGAGAGAATATCTTTCTTTTAGCTCTTAATGCTAATGGAGTTCCGTACTCTACTGTCAAGAAAGAGATAAATTACACAGTGGGAATATGAGACAGTGAGGCGAGCAGGGCTGCCTGGACGCCATGGCAGTACCAACATAAATCAACGGTGACTGGAGCCCTTTTCAGTGCCTAATGCGGGGCCAAGCACCCAGTTAGCACTCAATAAATATTAATTGCAAATACAACTGTGAGTCTGCTGCTAGAATAATGTGGTGCCAGTTTTCCCAGAAATGAACAAATTGGTTGGACGAACAGAAAGAGCAAGGGAAATGATTTTACTGGCTGGAAGGGTGGATTGAAGAGGGAAGATTAAATCACTTGCAATTTGATCAGTCCGAGAGGAAGAGGCAGGGTGACTGACTACTGTTTACAAACACCTGAGGCTACGGATGCCAAAGGGGTCAGGGAACCATTCTGTTTGCTTTGTGATGGGATTGACTACTGTTTTTGGCTACAAACACAAAGATAATTGTTAGGGTTCTCTGTTAATATCTTCCTGTCAGGATGCTACTAAGTAGGCATTAAAAGAGCCCTGGGATTTCAGATATGGAACAGCCACAGGGAAAATAGTGGTGGATTTAGGATTTAATGGTCTTTCTTCCAACCACTCTTCTGGGTTCCCATCACTGCATCTTCTCACTGCCCCCTGCAGCTTGAGTCTCTGCTCTTCTCAGGTCTCCAATCTCCAAACCAATATCTAACCTACACACAACATTTCTTTTTATATTTGGAGCTATTTTTTATTCTTTTTTTTATCCTAGTACTTTCTTCCTCAGAGATTATACCTGACTTGCTCCTTGCAGTCCCACAAAGTCCTTCTGTGCAGCTGACTAACCAAACTGAAAGAAAGAGACTCACTCACTCTTGTTAGATCCAAAGTGTTAGCAACGTGTCCTCCAGATGCCAGTGAATCAGCCAGCAACTTGCTGCCCCTGAGAGGTTCCAGCAGTGCAGAGACTTCTCAGACCCAGGAGGCACTGTCTCAACCAGAGCTACTTCTGACCCGAAAAACAAACATAAGCAGTTGATATTATGAGTGAGGATTCTACTCTTCTTCCTTCAAGCATGTTGAAATAACCCACTAAGCCATTTAAGAAGTGGTGACAATCATATAGACATTAAGGGTAGGGAAAAAGTGGGAAAATTTCACGTAAATGTTTTATGACCTGAGTTGAGAAAGGGCAAAATATGATCATGAAGATACCTCATGTACTGGGGTCCTGCAAATTCACATACTTTTTAATATACAGTCATTTTCTATTGGAGAGTCTACCATCTCTCAAGGGAGCTCTTGTTTTCCATTTCTCTCTGTTGTTATCATTATTACTATTTAAATATTTCCTGGTATATCACCCCAACATTGAGTCATGAGCTTTCTGGAATTGGAAAGAAAAGATGTCTCTTCTTTCATTTCTTTTAGGAACCAGCAAGAATAAATGAACAGCAACAACAACAAAATAAACCCCCAACATCATCAGCCACCTCAGACTTGGGGAAACGTTGTTGTCAGTTAGATACCATAGTCCCAAATGCTATTCTACTTGGTTGCTTCAAAATGACCTTGACTGTCTTAAGGATACATTTTTGTCTCCCCCACCCCCATGATCTACTGATTCTTTCGGGAGACATTTGTGTATAAGGCAACTCTGTCCTCCTGGGACTTACATCTTGATGAAAGATAAACAAGTAATTAGATAAGTATTTAGTTACTGGTAAGTACTAGAGAGAAGATAAAACAGGATAAAGGGAAGAAGAAATGATGGACTTAAAGGTGACACTACACTAATCTGGATGGCCCTGGAAGGCTCTCCCAGGGAGAAGCATTCAGGAAGGAGCTTGAGTATGGAATGAGCCATGTGGACCACTGGGTGGAAGAGGGAACCTTCCAGGCTGGGGGAATGAGTGTGAAGGTTTTGAGATCAGGACAAGCTGGAGGGTGTGAGGAGCTCTTTCTGGTATCATGAGCAGGAAAGGTAAAACTGAGATCAAGTGTAGCCACAGGCAGATTTCACAGGGCTTCACAGATCACCTGAGATACTTTTGTTTCCTTCCAAGCAAGATATTTAGCCCCATTTTGGGGTCACTGGTAGTGATAGTGAAGCCATGATATTCTTGAATTATTTGGAAAAATAATCTATTTGACCAAAAGGTTGAGGTGGGCAAGTGTTCATCATGGAGGAGGGGGCAGTGGCTGCAAATGTTCCTAGTAAGATCAATAACTCATTTATTGGGGATCCTGCACTTGCTTCAGGGAATTCTCTCAGAAAGAACAGCTCAAGAATAAGGGCAAGGAGATGCCACATAAAAGAGGGGATGAAGATGCCATGGTCTCTTCATATATTGAAGATTCCCAAGGTGATAGCATTAGGATGTGGGGAGCCTCTGGAAAGTGATGTGGTCATAAAGGGGGACCTCTCAAGAATGGGGCTAGTCATTTATAAAAGAGACCCCACAAAAAGGAGGGAGAGAGCAACCCCACAAAGATCCCTAGACCTTTGGCCATGTGAGGATACAGCAAGAAGTCTGTAACCCCAAACAGGACCTACCCTTAACCATGATCTTAGGCTTCCAACCTCCAGAACTGCAGGCAATAAGTTTCTGCAGTTTATAAGCCACAGCGACTGTGGTGTGTCGCCAAGTCAGGCGGAAGGGCTAAAACGGGAGAGTAGGCTCCTGGCAGAAGTAGCCCCACAAGAACAGGAGTGGATGCCAGAACCAACATGGCACGTCTGGGAAGAAACATACCCTCAAATTTTGCTGAAACATAAGAAATAAGGCAGCGTTTTGTTTTTCAGAGAGAGGGAGAGTTTATAATAATAGCCTTTCTTAGGAGACTGATGATGGTTCAACTTTCTTCTTGTGTGCAAAATGTAAATAAATAAATAATTGATTCTTTGTGTACTTGAAAATGAGTTCGATATTGCCTTTGACAAAGAGAAAGATTTTTGCATTTCCAATTAAACTTGTTGCAAACTCTTGTTTTAGATGGGATGTACTGCTATTTAAAAACATATCTTCTGAAGGTGTGATGAAGGATAGAGTCTGCAGAAAACCAACAGCAGCCTTTTACAATTCCACTTATTACAATTGTGCATTTTGCTGACAAAGTCACAGATAGTAAAATTAAGGCAAGTGCAAACTGCCCATTTTGATGGCAAGTAATACTTTCTTTTTGCTCTGTTAGCAAAGACTTAAAAAAATGTTAGCAAGATACTTCTTTTTGCTTTACTATAATGTTTCCTATGAAGCAGACACAAAATAATAACTATCAGTGAGTTTTGTGGAATTGAATACACACGTACACACACACTCACAAACATGTAATACATACTTCTGCTAGCATGTACTACATGTATGTAATCATGTCACTTGTGATTTACTACCTACTTTCATGATATGTTCTTACAATATTGTTGTCTAAGTTAGTTTCAGTAACTTGGTCACCCGTGGTTCTGAATCAAAAATATTAGGTTGAATAAAAAATGTGCTTATGAGGGCCTCCCTGGTGGCACAAGGGGTTAAGACACGACCTATGAAGCAATACGCAACCGCTGCAGCATGAGTTCGATCCCCAGCCAGGGAGCAACCCACATGGTGCAGCAGACCTCTCCTGACTTGCCCGCTGCTCTCCTCAGCAGTGTATTTCAGTTAGTCTGCCTGTTCTGTTCCCCACTCTGTCTCTGGTGAATCCTCTCATGCCCCACATCACTGGCCTACACCCCAGCTCTTGTACGTATAAATAAATAAATCTTTAAAAAAATGTGTTTATGAAAGGTCTGAGGTTTATAATCCAAGGCTGGAATTGACACTCCTAATAAAAAGACCAGCTAATAATAGAGCTGGTTAATAAATAGGATTTGAGTAACTCAGCATTTCATTGGAACTCTGTTAATGAAAATCTGGTTGCAGGAGTCATGGATAGTCAACCCATGGGGAAAAATGGAAAAACATTTAATGATCAACACATGATTAATGTTACAATTTTTGTCCCCTAAACATCTGAAAATTCTAACAGGAATAATCAGAGTTTTATGTACATTGAGATTTCCCAAACTTACTTGAATATTTTCACAAGTAACTGATTCATATGAGTTTCTGTAAAACATTTGTCCCGCTCATTTATTACAATTATCATAAACAAGATCTCACCTTAAGTAAATCTATCTGTCCCTCCTTTTGTATTTTGTTTACAAAGAGCAAGTTCCTTATCTCCATGAGCACAAACTTAAGTGACAATTTCCCATATTCAACTTTTCAAAGTTGATGAATTCAGAAACCATTTTTGGCAGCTCAGTTGTCTGTAGAATAAAGCCTGAACACTGGATTCAAAATCCTCATAGTTGGTCCTCCTCTTTCCTTTCTATAGCTAGACCCCACTACTGTCCTCAACAAACCTTACCAGCCGCACATTTATTTATGGATAAATTAGATTCCTTCTTCCTACCTCTGTGCCTTTGTCCACATCCTCTTCACCAGTAGAGTGCTCTCAAACTTCCTCTCTAGTGGAAAAATTCCCTGTTGGCTCTCCGACACCACTTTCATTCTCTTCTGTAGTGCAAACAAGATCTCTCTTCTCTGAAATCTTCACACGTAGGCCTGAGCTGCTGCTTTCACTGCCATGGGCAGTTGGACAGTTAAGAGTTACAGAGTGGATAAGAATAGCAGAGGATAGGAATAGATTAATTTCACATCTGGCTACCTCTATGAACTTGGACAAGATACTTAATGTCTCTTTGCTCCAAACAATTTTTGGAAGTAGATGAGAATATATTATGAATTGACAGTGAACTGATAGTTAGCATTTCATGTGGTTATGCTGTGTATTC